GGATGGCTCCGTGCTGAAAGGAACAGTCTAGAAACAAAAAGAATAATATTTAAGTTACTTAGAAAAAGAAAGAAATAGGGGCTGGAGAGATGGCTCAGTGGTTAAGAACACTGGTTGTTCTTGCAGAAGACCTGGGTTCGAATCTCAGCACCTAAATGGCAGCTAACAACTGTCCATAACTCCAGTCCTAGGGGATCCGACAGCCTCTTCTGTCTTCCATGGGCATTGCATGACATGGGTGCACTTACCTACATGCAGGCAATAAATGCATATATATAAAATAAAAATAATAAAATTTGAAAAAAGAAAGAAAGAAATGAGATGTGAGGAGTAGGAAGGCATGAGGGTAGTTTCAAAGAAAAAAGTGTATTGGGGTCTGTGTATTATCAAAGTTAAACAAGACAGTTCACTGAAATAGTAGGGGCAAGTTATAATCAGTAAGATATTATTGAAATAGGAAAAATCCCAGCACAGACTAAACTCAAATTCAATTTGTACAGAGGTGACTGAGTATTTTAAGGCATGAAGCAATGGGGAAGGAGCCCTGCAGAGGATCAGTAGAGGAAGGGCAGTGAAAAATTCTAGAAAGCAGGAAGTCAATCCATGTGTGGCCCATCTGTGTTTGGCCTCTTCATGGGGTTGGTTAACTACCTGGAAGTTACTCTCCTGTCTTTTCACAGAGGCAGGGAGAAGAGCCCTATCTGCAGACATTGGTTAAAAATCGACAGTAAATTCTTGGTAGTCTTGAGTTTTCTGAAAGAGACTGCTTTTTCAGACAACATTCCTTTGACTAAAAGTATGTTATAGTACCTTACAATTACAATTGCTAGACTGGGAGTGGTGGTTACATAGTTGGAATCCCAAGGCTCTCTCACCTGAGGAAAGAGGATTGAATGTTTGAGGTTAGCCTGGGCTACATTGTGAGACTGTCTCAGAAACAAACGAAAAAATTATAGGTCATCTATGTAGTAACATTTTTCTCTGTTATTTTTATTTTTTGGTTTTTTTGAGACAGGGTCTCCCTGTAGCCCCAGCTGGCCTAGAACTTACTATGTAGACCAGGCTGGCCTTGAACTCACAGAGATCTGCATGCCTCTGTCTCCCAAGTGCCGGTATTAAAGATGTGCGCCACTAAGCCCAGCCCTCTGTTATTTAAAAAAAATTTTTTGTGTGTGTGTGTGTGTGTGTGTGTGTGTGTGTGTGTGTGTTGTGATTGTTGAGACAAGGTCTTATGCAAACCAGACTGTACTGGAACTCACCATGATAGCTGAGACTTGCTGGGAACTCCTGATCCTTCTGCCCCCATATTCCAAGTGCTGGTATTACAGGTGTGCGTTGCCTCGCTTGGCTCTTTCTCTATGACTTTTAAGTCTCTCTGAGTGTCATTGGCATTTTCCTTTTGGAAGGACAAGGATGAAGGATGAGAATGTCTGGGTTCCTACTTGCAAATCGCCTCAGCTGTCTCCCACTGAACTTCCTATTCCATATATTCCTTCACAGGGCTTTGATATCAAAAGTCGGTGTCCAAATATGACACTGGGTTCAGGGTCACCAACAGGACCAATTCTAATCAAACAATAAATATTTACTGAGGGCCTGTTGTATTTAATGCACTGGACTACTGTGGGCACAATGTACTTTGCAAAATAGAAAGTGAAAAGCTCAGTTTCACTCTTTGCAGTTTGCAGAAGTGTGAAGGTGAGACTTGTCACCTTCTGTGCTCCTAAGCACAGTTTTAGTTTCCTGAGGCACCTGTATCACGATCCCTTACCACCTCCAACCTGCCCCCAAACCCCCATTGACCCATTAACCTCTCAAACAGGCCAGGCACGCTCTCTGCTCTTTCCCCAGCTATCTATGTGGCTCCACTCTTTCACTTCCTACCAGCTTTTGTTCAAATGCTACCTGCTCAATGAGGCCTATCCTGGTCATCCTCCTGAATCCCCATGCCCCACTTTATTTCTGTGGTGCTGGGGACCAACTTTGGGGCCTAGAGCATGCTAGGCAAATGCCCAACTGCAGAGCTATATTCCCAGCCTCTCATTATCCTATTTAAAATTGAAGCCAATGGGGTGGGTGCTGGTTAAAAGCATGAGTTGCTCTTGTAGAGGACCCAAATTTCTTTCCCAGCACCTACTTTGGGCAGCTCACAATTCCTGCAACTCCAGCTCTAGGGAATCCAACAACATTTTCTGGTCTCTATGAGCACTACAACATGCACATATTTCACCATGGTACACACTGGACAGAACTTGGGGGAGTTCCATCATGTGCATCCTGGGGATGGAACTCAGGCCATCAGGCTTGCCAGCAAGCACCTTTACCTTATGGAGCCATTTCGCCCATCCCTTGTAAAAATTTTTTTTTCTGGTGTGTGTGTGTGTGTGTGTGTGTGTGTGTGTGTGTGTGTGTGTGTGTGTTTGTGTGTGTGCACGCACTTCTGTGCCATGGTGTGGTACGGAGATTAGAGGACAATCTTGTGACTCTTTTCTCTTTCCACCTTTACCTGAGTTCTTATATTGAATTCAGGTCAGCAAGTGCCTTTACCTGCTGAATCATTTTGTCAGCCCCAAGTTCAACCTTTCTTTGTATCCAACCCTGTTTCCTTCCATTCACGCTGCATTTTGTTTGTTTGTATCTTTTTTTTTGTCTTTTTGTGACAGGGTCTTCTTGTAGCCCCAGCTGGCCTGGAACTCACTATGTAGACCAAACAGACTGGCCTTCTTGAACTCACAGAGATCTGCCTGCCTCTGCCTCCCAAGTGCAGGGATTGAAGGCGTGTGCCACCATGCCTGGCCTCAGTCAAGCTCTTCTTTATGCTCATATACTTTTGCTTGTTTGTTTGTGAGGCAAGAGAAATGGGATCAGGTTAGAACCAATGACTTTTCTCAACTAATATTAGAACAATCAAACATTCCTTGACATTTACATGTGTATGTATGTATGTATGCATGTATGCTCTTGTAAAGGCAAAAAATTGACATTGGATGTCTTCCTCAATTGCTTCTTCACATTATTTTTTTTGAGAAAGGATCTCATTGAAGCTGGGGCTTACTAGTTAAGCTATTAGTCTGGCCAGCAAGACCTAGTGATCTTCCTCTCTTCCAGTTACAGATGTAACTTCCATGTCTGGCTTTTTACTTGGCCCTGGGGATCTGACCTCAGATTCTTATGCTTGCACAGCTAACATTTTACCAACTCAGCCCTCTCCCCAACCCCCAAATTAAAAATTTATTCATTTTATTGTGTGTGTGTGTGTGTGTGTGTGTGTGTGTGTATGCCTGCATGTTTGTATATGTACCATGTGCATGGTGCAGTGAATGCAGACACCAGAAGAGGATGTTGGATCCCTTGGAGCTGGAACATGTGGGTGTCAGGTTCTGGCTGATAAAAGTCTGTCAACTCAGGAGGATCAGGAGTTTAAGGTCAGCCAGGACTGCATAGTGAGTTTGAGACCAGCCTGAGCCACTTGAGAGTTTGTCTTAAATACAAAATAAAGTCAGTGAAAAGACAGAATTACAAGAAATGGACAGGCCTTAGTTGGCCTCTGTTTGTGGTTCTAGGATTGAGAAGTACCTTGTTCTATACAATAGAATGACTTCCCATGTCTGGCAGAGAAGCCTGGCTCTTTAAGAAAGCTTTATTTTGGTTATTCATTTTTAAATTTTATGTGTATTAGTGTTTGTTGTTGTTGTTTTGTTGTCAGCATGTGAATTTTGTCAGCAGAAGGGAGTCTCAGATCCCCTGTAATTGGACTTAGAGATGTTGTTAGCTAACATGTTGGTACTGGGAACCAAACCCAGGTCCTCTTCAAGAACAGCCAGTGTTCTTAAACAGTGGAGCCATTCTCTGTAGCCCCAAAACCGTGCTTTTTAGATAGTAAAGGACTAAGGAAGGGCTGGAGAGATGGCTCAGTGGTTAAGAGCTCTAGCTGCTCTTGCAGAGGACTGGGGTTTGGTTCCCAGCACCCACAAAGGCCTTATCAACCGTCCCTACCTCCACTTTCAGGGGATCCGACGTGCTCTTCTGACCTCCGTGGGCATTGCATGACTTGGGTGCACTTACATACATGCAGGCAGTACACTCATACACATAAAATAATGCATGAAATATTAAAGAAAGAAAAGGGCCGGAGAAAGTGGAAACTGACAACAAAGCCCAGACTGGAAATTAATTCAAAGTTACTTTCCCTGAAAGGGTTGGTTATCTCTGCTAACCCTGGCCTGTTGGGGAGTCCCTGTTGGATCTCCATCTCCTACCTAGCTCTAGAAGGTCAGTTAGGTAACTTAAGTTTCCGCTGGCTAGCAAGTAGCCTTAGCTGTGACTCCACTTTGGTTTGGTGGATTGTTGTCTACTTCAGGAACTCAGACCAGACCAATATTTTCCTATACATTTTACTTAAAATGTCTAGAATCGTCTTCAGTGATAAACCACATCTCTCCAGGTAGAGAGGAGAAGACCGTTTTGTCTCTGTATCTTGTGTTTTTAGGTTACTGGTGGAAGGTGGGGAGCATTTCTAGCACCTGTATCTTCTCAGTTGTCTTCAACCGGAAACTTTATGTCAGAGGCGTTATTTTGGTTACTGTATTCTGCTCCCCTCTCCTCACGCCACTCTTTCTCCCCACACCTTTCTTTTTCTTTTCACCCAGCGCAGGCGACCAAGGAACAAAGTGCTGACTTGGGAAATGTTTGTGACCAGTTTTCCAGTTTCAGATAGTGATTTGCGGTGCGCCTTCTCTACAAGCACACATCGGGGGACAGCAGAGGGCGCTGGTGAAGAAGGGTGCATCTCCAGGATAGGCGGGGAGGAAGGGTGCTGGGGTGGATGGGGGTGGGCTTCAGGGGACAGCGTGGACTTTGGGGACCGAGCACTCACATCCAGGGGTACTTGCCGAGCCGGGCGAGCTCCGGGGGCAAAGGGTCTGAGCGGGGCAGGTGGAAATGCAGGGCCTGGGGCGGAGCCTGGCGGGGAGGCCAGGGGCGGGGCGAGCTGGCGCAGACGCGCTCGGCGCTAGGGGGGTGCAGGCCGCGGAGCGCTCAGTTTGCAGCTCCGGGAGGCTATGGGGCGTGCGGTTGCGGCGCGGGTGGGCTCGCTGTTCCGGCTGGGGCTGCTGCTAGGCGGCCTGGGCAGCTTGGCGAGCGCTGAGCCTCGGGCCCCTCCGGACCGAATTGGTAAGGACTGGAGGCGCGATGCGCCGGGCCCTCTGCGTGTTGGTCCGCGTCCCCGCTTCAGGGTGGCGATCGGGCTGTGGGAGGACCTAGCGGTGCGCTCCCTGAGACCGGGCTGTGAGGAGCGGTACCACTGGAGGCGCAAGCGGGCCGGGGACCCACTGTCCTTGCAGCCGCAACCTCGGAGGCTTTTGGCTCGAGCTGATCATCCCCGGGAGTCGGCCTGTGGCTGGCCCTGGCGCGCAGGCCGATCGCCCCGCAGGTGGAGGCACGCAGACACCGCCGGGACCTGTCTGTCCTCCAGGTTCGGCTGGGACTGCCTCTCCGCACCTGTGCTTTGCTGGCGAAGCCGGGCTCGCGATTCTCCCTTACGGCAGCTGCAGCTAGCAGAGGATCCGTTCTTTTTCCCGTTGAGTTTGCCTTGGGTTTTCGCTCCCGGGTCCCTCTGTCACCAAGTGAAACTGTGTCCTCTGGGATCGTTCACCGTGTTGGGGCCACAGAAAGACAAAGACCAAGGCTGGGCGAAGATGGCGGCCACTTTATTTAAAATGCATGCAGAAGAGGCCCACCCATCTCTCCCTCGGAATTGAGCACCGAAGGGTCTGTGGTCTCAGTGGTGCCTCCACAAAGACCTGTGAGGATCTTTGGGCATGTGGTGGAAAATTGACTTAGTGTCAATTTGTAACTTAATCTACCACTACTTTTGACTGGGAGCAGCCCCTGTCCAAATTCAGTGGGTTGTCTTCTGAAAGAAACTACCCCCCCCCCAAGGACTCCCCAAGTTGTTGGTTACAGGCTTGAGTAACTTCTATTAACGACTTTTCCAAACTCAAAACCCACACTGGTAAGATGGGGGAAAAAAGGTTCCTTTTTTTCCTTCTCATAGCAATCATCGGCGCTGGAATTGGTGGCACTTCATCAGCCTACTATCTTCGGAAGAAATTTGGGAATGATGTGAAGATTGATGTGTTTGAAAGAGAAGAGGTGGGGGGCCGTCTGGCCACCTTAAAGGTGCAAGGTCATGAGTATGAGGTCGGAGGTTCTGTCATCCACCCTCTGAATCTGCACATGAAGCGGTTTGTCAAAGAGCTGGGTATGTAATTTTGATTTTAGAACTAAGCACATTCCTGTGTCATTGGCCCTGGGTGTTTTTATCATTTGGAAAACTGAGATGTTTCTTTCTTGTTTAAGTGTCTTCTACAAAGAAGTTGGTGAACCTGTTTCCCTTGCAGTAGGATTAGCAGTTGGTACTGGCTTAGCTATGAGCCACTCTCCTAATGAGACTGTAGTTATCTGTGCCATCAGTTATCTGTAATTACATCCATGGGGTGCGGTGAGGGTGGCTGTTGTCAAGTCTTTTTTCTTTTTTAAATTACATTTTGGTTATTTTATATGATGTGCATGTGGATGTGGGTACGGGCAGGGGTATGGGCATGAGTGCCACAGCCTGTGCATGAAGGTCAGAGGGCAACTTTGTGGAGTGGGTTCTCTCCTACCATGTGGGTTCCAGGATTGAACACAGGAGGTCAGACTTGGTGGCAGTTGCCTTTACCCTCTGAAATCTCTCATTATTCCTTGTTGTCATTTCTTAAACCTCTGGGTTTGGACCGAAGAATCAGAGTGTTTTGAGCTCGAAGAGGCTTTAGAGAGCTCATTTTACAGCAGTGGAAATGAGACCCACAGACTTGGAGTCTAATAAGATACAGACATATGCTTATGGGGACTCCTGACTGCTGCCCTGCCAGCAGAGGACCTGAGCATGTTGTGAGGAAGTCTGGCAGGCCTCTGCAGGTTCTGTCTTTAGGAATTATTGTGAAATTTTGGCTTCCTTACACTTACTGGAAACTCCCAGTTTTGAAAAATAAGGTAGGTGTAGGAAGGAGAGCACCCCTTACCCTTCAGCTGCCCTCCTCATCCCTGGTAGATGCTTCCTTCTCCAAGACTAAGAATAGTGGGGCAGGGGGCTGGAGATGACTCAGTGGTTAAGAACACTGGTTGTTCTTGCAGAAGACCCGGGTTCGAATCCCAGCACCCACATGGCAGCTAACAACTGTCCATAACTCCAGTCCCAGGGGATCCGACAGCCTCTTCTGACCTCCTCCGGCATTGCACAACACAGGTGCACTTACCTACATGCAGGCAATACATGCGTACACAAAGAATAAAAATAATAAGCCGGGCGTGGTGGCGCACGCCTTTAATCCCAGCACTCGGTGGGCAGAGGCAGGCAGATCTCTGTGAGTTCTAGGCTGGCCTTAGTTTACATAGTGAATTCCAGGACAGCTGGGGCTACAGGAAGACCCTGTCTCAAAAAGACAAAAAAAAAAAGAATAAAGAATAGTGGGGCTAATTTGGTACCGTGTATGTGATCTTCTGATTGTCTCCTAGTATACCAGTTTGTGGATAGAGCAACAGGTGCAAGCGTATTATACTTTTCTAAAGGTAGAACTTTAATGTGTCTTTTGAGATTTGGAAACCACCACTCAACTCAGAATGTCCCTGGTAGGTCCCCCAAATTCCCTTATTGTTGGACCTGTGTGGAAACCACTGACCTACCCTTTCTCTGTTTTTGCAGGTCTTTCCACTGTTCCAGTTTCAGGTGGCTTGATGGGAGTATACAATGGAAAGACTCTGGTGTTTGAGGAGAGCAGCTGGTTTATAATCAACATGATTAAACTGGTGTGGCGCTATGGATTTCAGTCCCTGAGAATGCACATGTGGGTAGAAGACCTGCTAGACAAGTTCATGAGGTAACGTTCTGCTTCTGTTGAACTTAAGACCTTTCAGTGTAATTAACACTGAAGTGTAATTAGGAATGAGAGTTGCTTGGAGTAGTCCTTCCTAACCCTGTTTGTAAGGTAGTTAGGAAAAACGTTTTGCAAGCAGATTGTTAATACAATTAAGAACTGAATGTGTAGTTTATTTTTGCTTGTAAACTGTCCTTTGCAAGAGCTGAGATGAAGCTCAATAGTAGAGCACTTGACTGGCATGCTTAAGGGCCTGGGTTTGCGTCCTAGCACCTCAGAAAATAAAGACAGCTGCTGTATTGTGCTTTGCTTCTGTAGTGTTGTCAGATACTCTTAGGTGCTCTACAAAAGTTAACTCCTTGAATTCTCATGGTAGCTTGCTCAGGGAGTCACTGTCATTGGCTGCTTTTTACAGATGTGGAAGATGGAAGTGCCAAGGTTTTAAGTGTTTAAGGTTGTCCATCTGGGAAGTGGTAGAACTAGGGTTCCAACCCAGGATTCAATATAGAGCCCTCTTTTTTTTTTTGTGGTCTTTTTGAGACAGGGTCTCCCTGTAGCCCCAGCTGGCCTGGAATTCACTATGTAGACCAGGCTGGGCTTGAACTCACAGAGATATACCTGCCTCTGCCTCCTGAGGTTAAAGGCATGCGCCACCACACCCAGCTCTTGAGCCCTCACTCTTAATGTCTTATTGTGATGCTGTGTAGATGAATGAGATGATGTGTACAAGAATTTACAAAAGTATAAGAAAACTTGGGGCTAGAGCAATGGCTCAGTGGTTAAGAGCACTAACTTCTCTTGCACAGGACCTGAGCTCCATTCCCAGCATGCACATGGCGGCTAACAGCCATCTGTAATTCCAGTTCCAAGGGATCTGACGCCCTCTTCTGGAACATGGGTGTACTTATACACTTGCAGGCAATACATTCATACACATAAAAAATAAAAATAAAATAATAAAGGAAAACGTAAATGAGGTTCAGTTTTGTGTGTGTGTGTGTGTTCATCTGTGCACGTGGAGGTCAGAACATTTGGTGTCTTCCCCAATTGCATTTCCACCTTTAATTTTTTTTTTTTAGCTTAAAAAAATTATTGAGAACTTCATACATGCATATAAGGTGTTTTGATCAAATCCATCTCCACTCCCTCCCCTCCAACTCCTCCTCTGTCTCCCCATCACTTTTTCCTTTTTTCCTGACAACTTCGTGTACTTCCTTTTTTTTTGAAATAGGGCTTTTTGCTACTTTAACATTCCCCCCTCTGAAGAGGTAACCCTAAAATCTTTTAGGGATTAGAAAAGAGCTCCCAAATACTTTTGACATTTTTTGCTTTTGGAACAGATTATGTTGCTAAGAGGCCCAAGGACATTTTGACTTTTAGCCAAGAAACTGGCTACTTTTCTTTGGGGTCTTTTTACCCTAACTGCCTAGCCAATTCCTACCTCCTATTCTTACCACACCATCCTCTGAAGGGGTTACCCAAATTGCCGATGGGGAATTGGGAGGTAGACTGCTCTGGCTTCTTCCATGCTGAACAGGGTGAGGCAATTGGGGTACCCCTTCAGTGGGTCTATCTAAAGGACTCCCAAATTGTTTAACTCTTAACTGTGGGGAGAAAAGAATGTCCTTGACTGGTGTCTAGGAGATGTGAAGGAGAAGTAAAGGCATGAGTAGTTACCATTACAAGTTTTAGACAGGGAACCAGAAAAAGTTCAGAACAGGGCAAATTTCAAATGTTCAGATCAGAGTCCATTGGGATTTCTTGATGAGAGCTTCCAAAAGCATCCCTCTGTTGGGTTTTTCCTCATTTTTCTTTTGTCTGCCAAGGCTAGACTCTAGAGTGATAGACTTAGGATTTGTTTTCAGGCACTTTGATAGCTGTTGGAGTAGCTAGAATCAGTGTCAGTTCCCTCTCAAAGGCTTCTAGATAGGGAGAGAAAACAAATTTAGCCATCATTTAATTTTTTGGCTAGAACAATAGTGGGCTGCCTCCCTTAGCTGTAGGTGGGCACTACAGTATTGTAGACCAAGATTTGAAGTCTGACATCTGAGTAGTGTCACCTTATTAGGAACAAAATCATCAATGAGAGATAATTGTCTAAATAACATAAGAACTT